AGCTGCCGGTCTAATGTTAAAACAAGAATTATAAATCACCTATAACAACACAGACATCCGCCTTGAACATTGATCAGCGGAAAGAAACCGCGATAACGCAAAACAGTTACAACAGCAACCGCAAGCCAAAAAAACGAAATTTGCTGAGTGTTAGGAAACTTTTTAGCCCACCCCCCGTATTTCTTTTCCCAAGGGCAACAGGTCCACGTAGAATTAAAGACGACAGTAAAGCCCTGTTCTTCATTTGCCGCCCACCATAAAAATAGTAACCTTCACCATGAAAAAGGATCAGTACCTCGAGCACTTCAGTTTAGCCCTCTTTTAGGCCAGTGCCGTTGTGGCATGAATAGGGCGGAGATCTTTGATCGAGTAAATCACGCAGTGAAACTTTCTTTGACTCCTAATCCGGTGCAATATATTAATACCTCGTCGCGACGCATTGAAGAGGTGTCAATAAAATGACTACATCTTCGTGTCGACTTTTCAGGTTCTTCAGGTTCTTTAGGTACGCGGATGACAAGCCGGCTGATTACAAAGAGTTTTTGAGGTAGTTCTTTATTTGCTGCCTGTATGGAAGGTAGCGTATTTGACACTCTGTGAAGTCTGTAAAGCCCTATTGAACCGGTAGGGCATTTGAACATGTTTTAACATTAAAAGTGCCAATGTAGGGGGACATTTCACTTATACATGTACAGTGGTGGATCCAGGGGAGGGCCCCCCCCCCACTCATCTCAGGGTCTCAATGACCGGGCCTCCCCCTTATCTGAAGGTCTGGATACACCACTGATATATATATATTTTTAAATGCCAAATGCCCGGGGATTTGCCAGGGGGATAGGCGCTCTTAAATTGACTGATAAGTTGGAAAATTGTGAAAAAGGTCAAAAAAGTAATTCAATAACACCAGGTTTACAAGTTTTACTTTAATTCTTTGACATCCTTCAAAGTGACTAAAAAGTCATATTTTCTCTCCTGGCTACAAGCCCTTTCAAAGGAGAAAAATAATCAGATATATTCTAACTTTGGGCGTCGCATAACGGCATCAAAGAAAAACAACGAAGAAATAAGACTAAAGCAAATTATTGTTTACAACAATAACCACTGTCCCGACGCCTTTTAAAATTTTTCAAGAGTCTTCGCTTGCGCTGTATTGTTCATAACTTATGATGAAGCTCGATCGCTGACACTTTGATCCTGTCAAAGTGCGCAAGTCCGTGATTAGTTCGTTTCCAGTCGATTCACGCTCTAGCCTCCACGGCGCGGTTCCTTGGCATTTCGCACATCTCGCAGACTTCCAGTGCTTCGTGATTTAGAAAGGTGCAGACAGTGCAAGTCCAGGTCGTGTTTTCTGATGACAAACAAAGCAGATATCACTGTCAATATAAACTTCACACAAAATATGTACAATGGGATTAAATAAATATGGCCAATGAAGACAGGCCGCACCACAAGGACTGCACACAAATATTTCACTCTCGTTTACAACGAGAGTGTTGCTGTTGTTGCTATTGTTCTTTTTTAGTCAGGGCCACAGGTATAAGTACATCTGGACTAACAACCACGGCATTACACGTTCAACTCTAGCCTGCGTAGATGGCGGTTTTTTATGGTGTGTTTTTTCTTTTGTTGGTTCCTACAGCCGCGTGAGAGCTGAACCGAGGTCGAAACAATGAGGGAAGGGAGCAAAAGGAGAAGCACTTTGACCTTGAGCGTCGTCGTATAAATACGAACCAAAAGCGAAAAACACACCGAAAAAACCACCAGCCACGCAGGCTACTTCAACTCCGGTTGGGACGGCTCGGATTTACTTTTTCTGAATTGCCTGTATTACAGACTGGAAAAAAAAAAATCTAAATTACGATATGACCATCACAGTGGTGATTGCAATTTAAACAATGTGAATAACCCCGACAAAATTTGCATGGCTTCACAAGGATTTCAACCCATTACCCATGGCCTCTACGTTAGCACTACTGTGCTCTACCAACTGAGCTATGAAGACCCATACACTGGGAGCAGACCGATTTGTTGAGTTCATCTTACCCCATAAAAAGAAATGAAACATGGAATGAAGATCATGTGAATTGCGGAAATACAAATCAAAAATACGATATCTTACAATACGTATGCATTTCCACATTTCACATCATCTTTTTTCTATTACTCAGTCGAAAGAGCACTTGACTGCAGAGCGGGAGGTCACGGGTTTGATTCCCGGGACCGGACCACTACTCAAGAGTCTTAAAATAACTGAGAAATGAATGTACTTCCTTTGCTCAGCAAACGGCTAGACCTTCGCGTGGCTCGGATGACCACGTAAAATAACGACCCTCCTTCAGTAAGAGACGTAAAAAATAGTGTCCCCAATTGGTCTTTCGTGCTAAATATATTGACACTTAAATAAAGTGCATTTTTGAACAACAACAACAGCAAAACATTCATACCTGAAGTGTGTACTGTGGTTTGAAGATTTGGAGGAAGAAAGACCCAATCGTTCACACTTCCACCATCAGGAGGAGGACTGATACTGCCTGAAGGACTCTCTTCATCTGTAAATTGAAAAAAAAAAAGAATTTAAATTTGAAATGTTTCATTTCGCTGTTGTATTTTCTGTTACACTATTTTCATGTCTGTAGATCATGTTTGTCTTTTTACCTTGCCTGGACCACTAAGACAAGGTAAAGAGAAAAGTGGCCTAAGAAATGGCGTCCGAAGAACGAGTGCAGAAATTCCATCCTGATGACTCGACACCACCCAGATCTGGGTAGTGATGCGTCGTTCGTATGGAATTTCTGCGCTCCTTAGTCAGATGCCATTTCACAGGGGAACCAGTGGAAGCGTCGCAAATTGTCGGCTGTTTTCTCAGGCTAAGGGCAAAGGAGAGAAACAAATAGTCCTACACAAGGTGTATTGATGCTGAGACCCTACCGTGTTTAACCACTGACCTGAAACCTCTTCAGCAGGAATTTCGAATGTTGCCATTTGTTTTTTGCTAAGTCATAAACCGACATTTTTCTTATGACAGTTTTGAGTTCTCTGTCCTTTGAATAAAAGCACTGAAGAGGCATTATTTTTTTTTTCAATACAGGGTTAGACTTCACCTGAAGTGAATGTATTCAAAAATTCCAGTGAGAAGACCCATTTGCAACCCTGTCTATTGTTTATTTTTATATTCCAGCCACCTTCCTGGCAGCGCTTGCTATTTTTAGTTTAAGGGTGATACTTGGTCAGTGTTGTCGGGAATTGCATTATGGGAGTGTTTTGTTAGCACTCCTCTCATTGACTATTACACAGCTGTGTAGGGAACTGGGCTCAAAGTCCTTCGCCAAAGACACTCCAAGGCCAGGTTGTTAAAAGCTGGGTTAAGTTAGATAACCTGAGGTAAGTGCAAAACTTGAAAGCTTAAAAAAAGAAAAGTTTAATTCTTCTTGTTCTTCAGTAATTTAAAGTTAAGCATCTTTCTTGAATAATTTTCTACACTCTTTTCAGAGCATCCATTTCCACATTTGAATGGATAATCTAAAAAGAATAGAGGAAATTATCCAACAAAATGCTTACCCAACTTTGATACTAGATGCCCTAAAAAGAATAGAGAAAATTATCCAAGAAAATTCTCTTGAACAAAAGAAAAACAAAACTTTAAATTTAATCACGGGTTAGCGTTACTCGGTCTTCAAACAACTGGGCCCAGTAGTGCAAAATTGACACACAACACTGAGTCAATCTCAAGCGCAACCACTAATTATTGGCCAATTTATACAAAAGTTTCACTTTAGGTTGAGACTAACCCCTTAACAATGTGCTATAAGTGTCTGTATTCAGCAGGGACAATGAAAACTTTCAATGTGAAAAAGCAACTATTAGTTAAATTAGGTTCTTGGAATGAAGTTGGACTCTTCTAACTGACATGCCTTACATGCAAATTAACGCCCCTCAATTAATGCCCTTCATATTGTGCTACCCCATACACACTTAAGAATTAAGCATGAAGCAGAGGCCTAAGCGCCACCAGATTTCCCGCAAACTTCCAAAACCGTAAACTAAAGTGATTAGTCATTTAAAGAATATAAATTAACTCCAAAAGATATTCCTGGAGAAGTTATAGTAAATGAACGTGCGTAGGAAAGTAGACAAGAGGATTGACACATCATGACACATCAAGTCTTTCATACTATCGGAACGATTATTACAAAGGACAGCAGAACAGCATTGGTGAAAGATATTTTTTTGTGGTGGTAGTAAGGTGTACTTCTGCAATCTTACACAATCTAATTGCGATGTGACACTTAGTCCTCGCTTTCATACTTAAGTCGTAGGTGTGTATAGTCGCTCTCTATAGCCCCTTCTCCTTCATAAGGAGGTGTGATGGGGGGTCTATTATTACACTGTCCAATGCTCCAGGACCGTCAATTTACTATTTTGTTTTTGTTGTCGTCCTATATCTTTTCATTCACCTTTTTTTTTTTTTATTAATACACTCAGTCAAAATTACCCGGACATGGCATGACTCAGACAACAAGGATTGAGCAACTATTATATCATCTTCTATTCGCTTAGTATTTTTAGTAAAATATCCTTTTCAGGGTGGCAGCGTTTGGGGGTGTAAATTTTGGTGCCTCAGACTGGGGGCTTATCACTGGCCATAGAGGAAATAATATCATTGTACGTGTATGCTATTACTAGCAAAAACCAAATCAGCTCTATGGTACATTTTAAGGTCAAAGACGCATGAAGGGTTAGCTGAAAAGGGGGAATGTTAAGGTAGAGCAGGAAAAGTTGAGGTTTAAAAGAGGGAAATTTACTAATAAGAAGGATTAAACCAGAATCTAGATATTAAACAGAATTATACTGGAGCAATCAGTTGGTTTAATGTGTTAACTCTATTTCTACGATCATATGCATGTAGGCTTTGAAAACTTTTTGTGTCAAAAAGATCAACATTGTTTGTCAAAAGATCTACAGTGCATTAGAGGACTTAAAGATCTCACCAAACAGAATCGTCATGACCACACTTTTTGAGTGTCTTGGTGGAAATTAAAAATTTCCTGGCCACCTAAATGATTTCGCTACATCAAATTGTATTGTTATAATTCAGCTACTATTTCCTCCTCAGTGTTACAAAATGTTTTTGTATCCATATCATTATGAGTAGTGGTAATAAGGTTAATGACACCCACAGTTAATGCAACCTGTTAATTCTTATTAATTTTTTACCATGAGAAGAATGTGTAGTTAAGCTTCCAATCATTGAGCAGAATCGATGAAGTGAAGAAGCACGACCTATTAAGAAGAAAAAAGTCCCACCATCACTGTCTAGAAGGGCTGTGTTATGCACTCAAGTGTTCTTTGTCTGTTAGGATTACCAGTGGCCAGTGAAACATGTAAGATGTAAACTGTCTCTTGCAGAGGTAAAACATTTAGGCAAAGGTTTAAAAAATTAGTGGAAACCGCTTCACATCACAGAGTGCCAATAAAAAAGCAGGATTATAATCATTAAAGACCTCATCAAAGGAACTCATTACAGCAGCCTACATCATGGCAAAGAAAAAAAGAAGTTCAGTGCTTTACTTTCAGGCTACCCAGCTTTAAGTAAAAATTGTACAAGATAATAGCTGCTATATTATTCTACCTGAACTGCACAACCTACTTTTCCAATTTCCAAGTTACTATCATGGTAATCTCAGGTTGGGAGAAAAGCTCAATAATATTTTTTTTATTCTCAGAAATAATAACCACGTTAATAATCCATTGATTGTGCAAGAACGTGCAGCCTTAAGTTCTCTTTTTTTTATATATATGAGAAGTTTGCTGAGAAATGTGTGCTGTGTCCCCTTGGCAGAATTACACTTGTCTGCCTTATAGTGAGTATAGTTACATGAAAAAAAATGGATATTATTTTGCTTGTGCTGAGCCATCGTGGCCTGTATCATGGCCTGCATTACATTTGTGTTAGCTTAGCAAGAAGTTGACTATGGTGGCAAGGTAAATGTAAAGGCATGATGATGCAAGATGAAACCTTGTGTTACCACAACAGCTTAACCTGCTTCCTGTAGCAATGTAGCATGAAGGACCCACAAGTAATGCTATTCTCCCCTCCCTCCCCCCACCCCCTTGTCCACTGGATTGGATGATCATGGCTGTCTATCATAGTGTCTCCCCAGCAGTAGGTTGCTACAAGCACCTACTTACAGTATATTACACTTGGGTGAGGAGACAGAGAGTATTTTAGTAAAGTTTCTTGTCTATTAAGGAAACAATGAGAGAGTTGTGTTGTATAGTATGAATTATATAGCAAAGGATCTAATGACAAAGATCAGCTCACATCCAGCTCCATTTTAAAGCAAGAAACAGGCCCATAGATGTGAAAAATTCCTAAAAACATTTTTGGCCGGTTTCTTCAACAAAGTTTCACATAATTTATCATGGCTTAAACAATCAATGAACCCCTAAATGTAGATCTATTTGTCAGCAGGTTACTAGAAGAGGATAAAAAATGTCTTTTCTGCACTTTAAGCCTATCTGCAGCAACCAACATGTTTAGATATTTAGGTTGGCCAAATTGATAGAATACAGTTGAATGAATGCAGAACTCTGTTTTTCAGGTAGTAAACTGTGAAGTAAGTTTTCGTTTAACAAAAAAAGTTTTTGTTTAGATTGAGGACTCACCATTTGCACCAGTATTGGCTCTACAGGAAGGGAAACTTTCAACTCTTCTAACTATATAAACACAAACACGATAAAGAAAGGGAAGTGGTCAAATGAGAATACTCAAGAAGAAAAAAATAATCAACTGTGTTCAAGAACTCATCATGGAATTTATAACTTGTACATGAGCATGGTAATCTTGGGCTTAATGGCTCATAGCCAGTAACACTCCATGGTGTAGTCTCAGAGATGCCAACCTCTGGAGATCTAAAATCTGGAGACTCTCTTTTTTTCACTCACCCCTGCCTCCCCGCCCCCAACAAATTGACCCAGCCCTCAATGGGAATGACTTAGGGCATTGTATGAAGTCTTCCATGAAGTACATGCTATCAAAATCCGCAATCATCATTTTGATGCCAGAAATTTATCTTCGTCAGTGACTATTAAAACATGTGCGAAAATGCCCCAGAAACCCTACTGCGAATAAGAAAAATTCAAGTTTTGAGCTAAAAATGGGCTAAATCTCAAACTAAAGCACAGAAAAGCTCAAAGGATGATTTTATCCAGGAGATATGGTGACCCATATGGGAGAGCGGGAGATCAGTACTGTATACTGTATGAGACTCCCGCATAATCCGGGAGAGTTGGCATGTATGTAGTCTGTGTAAGAATGAATGAATGAATGGTAGCCTTTACACTGGGCTGTTAAGTAAGACTTAAGAGTCGCTAAGTTTTAATTTATGTTGCATCTCATTAAAGTCGGAAAGTAAAGTTTCAAGTGACTTGAAAACCATCCTTAAAACCAACTTTGCGAACTTGCAGTTTCTTGAGCTTTGAGAAAGGCGAAGCATGTCAATCAATCTTAATTATGTTGCACGGGAAAATAGCCTTAAGTTAGCCTGAAGTAAAAAAGATAGGTTGTGTGTGAAGCTTCCTTTTACTTGAAGAATTAAAAATTTACTTGCCTTATCTTGAGGAACTTGATACTGATTGTTCTTAGAGCTTTTTGAAAAGGCTAAATACGATATTTATGCTCTGACATTTTAAAAACAAAAGGTGTTTGCATTCATGAGAAATGGTCTTTCAAATATCAGATTACAGGAACTGTGCTCCATTTTGACTTATGATAATTCTCAAATTATTATCTGTTTTGCCAAATTAATTTCTTTCCTATTTCTATCTATTTGTAATTGCTTTACGTATTGATAGAGTGTTACTAGTAATGAATATTTTTTAATCATTGGTAGTATAAAAAAATGAAAATCGCAATGTGGAAAAAGCAAACTTGAATCCTTCACTTTTACTATGTAGACATTCAATTTAACGGTCACAATTTCGCATGTTTTCAAAACAACAGGCATTTTTAAAATTTCATTTTATGGTAATTTCATTACGACGATTTGTGTGCTAAATCTTAACAAGAAATCACAATGGTCCCAGAACCATTCTGTATAAGTTTTAACAGATCAATTTTGGTTTCTGGGAAACCGCTCACCTACCCCTTCCATAAGCCATCATTTTGCCCAAAGTGAGAACTACGTGCTAATGTTAGCTTAGGGGAGGGGTAGGTGGGCAGTTTCCTAGAAACCTTTTAACTTTGTCTGTGGCCGCTGAACCACCGTTACATGCTATCTAGCGCTTGTAGCCAGGGGCGTAGCCAGACTTTTGACTATTTATAGGCCTGGTTGATTGTCCTTTCCACATTTCCTGAAAATTGGACGCATGACAAGTATGCACTGACCTCAACAACACTTTGACCCTTTAAGCTTTTTAGCACACCCCAACTACCCATAAGTTATTACAAGCAGTAGTGTTACGAAACCAAAAGTTTGTACGCCCGGGGTCCACAGGTCTATGGGCTGGCTACGCCCCTGATAGCACATAACAAACAGTGACAAAAAGTGCATGCGCCGATTAGAAGTCACTTGTACACAACGTGACTGCCTTGAAGAACGATTTTGTTTTGCAAGCACATGGTTTTTGTACAGACTATTCATTGCCAGTAAGCGCATGTCCTCTTAGAGGACTACAATCTTGAACAAAACTGTTGAGAAAATTGTATACTTGGACAGCATTTTCCTAAACATCATAGCTCTACCGGTTCTTCCCTCTCCCCCTTCCCCTGAAAGCAATGTTGTTGTGTATTCAAAAGAAAGCCTGATCCCTGGGTGTTTGTGGGAAGCAACATTGAATTGGGGGAAGGGGTTTTCTTTCCGCAAAGGCGTCGTTTTGGAAATAGTTTTGTTGCGTGGGAGAGTGGACATGATGGGGAAAACTTTCTCAAGTAGTTTTGTCCAGGATTGTAGTTTTCTTTTTTATTTCATAAAGCTCTTGTAAACAAATTTTACAAGAAGAAAATTAATGGTCAGAAAACAGCAACTTGTTTATCTACCTCCCTACACTGCAAAAATAAAACAGCTTTTTTAGCATCCACCATTGTATTATACAGTATAGTAAAAAGTTTGACAATCTTTATGTCTGAAATCATGCCATAAAAATGCTTTTGGAAAAGAAAAAACAGAGGGGAAACTTGACCCAGGTTACTAAGCACTTGACTGAAGTCTGTTAAAAGTCTGCTAAAAAGGCATTGGTTTTAACGCTTGATGAATGGCCAAAATGGATTACTCTAACTTTACTCTCTTAAAAAATAATGCCAGTATTTTACAGGTGAAATAAACTTACATCTCCTTAAGCTTTTCGTGTCTAAATGTGTTATTTGATGAATGAAATTTGCAATCTTGTTGTTTGAAATCCTGGGAAGCCCATCCATAGAGCCATCAGAGTCACATTTACAATGTACATGCATGAACCAGGGTATAAAATTATTGAGAAATCATTATTGTTCCACTGTATGTCTAATGTTTGCCATCTCCCAAGTTTCCACTATCTAAGTTCTCAGTAACTGATCCTCAATTTTCAACGCTCACAGGATGAAGTATTGAGACTTGAGTTCAGCATTGAGACTCCCACCAGTCTATCAACTTACTTTTGATTAGTATTGTATGTGTAATAATAATACAATACATACCTGGGGGTGGGTAGGTTGGCAGCTGATTAAGTGCTGGATTACTGTTAGGGTGGTGTCCTATCACAACTAGATAATTAACAACACAGTCATCACTGTAAGAACTATCAGAAGATTTTCACTGCAATACGTATGCAACTTTCACACCAAGTCACCTCAGAAATAGATTTCGAACAATAAAATGAGGCAAAAGTGTTGGCACCTTATATATGGTATTAGTATATACACACTCCGTGATCTTGGTAATTCAAGCAGTCTGATTGGTTAGCTATCTCGGACTATGACGTTATGCACCTATCAGAGTAAACCCCGTGGGGGGGGGGGCAAGGGGTGGGGATTTGACAAATTTTAAAATTTTTTGATCAAATTCCCCAGGGTGGGAAACAAAAGGTCAATCAAAAGTGTCAAAAAAGTCCCCACCCTGGGGGAAAAATCTAAACAAACAATACTATAATACTATTTAAAACGAATAAAAGAACATTTCAAAAGTACGTTCTTACTACTTTTTATTTAAGGTTAACGTAAGTTCCGTTAAATTCCCCGGGGATATCTAAGCAAACTAACAACCAATAAAATAGGACACACCATTTGTTTGGCATAAAGAGAGATTTATTTCAAGTAAAGCGAAAAACCGATAAAACACCCGAAGAAATAAAGCTCTCTGCCCACCATCTGGGTGGGAGGGATGGGTAAAGGAAATGTACAAACGGATAAAGAACACGTTCCAGCAAAAACTTGCAAGGTGATAATTCGAGATAAGTGTACAATACGCCTGCAGCGCAGGTTAAACTACATGTAACAATAAATCACGTGCTGAACATGCAGTGAGATCAATAAAGCTATTACGCAATGCTGATGAGTGATAAATGACAAAACACACGAACTGATCTACGATGTGGGGAATTAATAATTTTGAAGCATCCTCCAAAATAAACAAATTACTTGCTGTAATTAAGTATTTTCTCTCTCCACTTGCATCTCTTATTCTGAACAACATAATCGCTCCAGGAAGATTGACCGTGCTATTATATTATGAAACGTAAAATGCTTTATAACATCTGCTCAACATGTGGGAACAGGTCGAATCAGTGACCCGTAAAAAATCCTCTGACTTTCACGGTAAAATTCGATTTCAAATCGAGGTTTACAATCAGATAGGAACTAGAAGACAAAAACTTTCTCAAAATAGACATTATCTGTTTAGATGACAGTGTAAAGTATCGGATTATAGTGATCAAAACAAATGAAAACTTCATACCTTTCTCCAACAGCGTGATTTTCAGAAAGCCTCGAGGGACAGACTTGGTAACCGCTTCTGAATTGATACCGGGCTTCTATCGGTCAAAGTCAAATGTCCCAACCCCGGGGTCGCTTCACGATCAAAAGGCCGACATGGGGATAGTCTCAGGCATCAAATCCCCTCCCCTTGCCCGCACTCCCCCCCCACGGAATTTACATTGATAGGTGCATTATATTCACCACGCTAGGCAGTGACTATAAACAGTATAAAGCAGAACAAAATCGCTGTCCTGCATGAACTGGGTGTTTTGCCAAAGTTTCAAGGTAAAGCCTTTTTGAAAATACTCGAATATCCTAGTGCTGATGACTTTGAAGGCAAGAAACAAACAGCGTGATTTATTGTGAAGTGGTTTACTGTAGCTCACTTTTTGTACGCTCGAAGCTATGTTTACCACTACAGAGGAAAACGAGGTCGCTTTGTCACTGTTTTGTGATTTCGGGATTTTCTCACAAGATCAATTTCGCCTATAAATATAAGTTAATTTATGGAGAAAAGAGGAAGGCAAACATTTTCGAAAGTTGTATGTGCCAGCAAGTTAACAAGCCAAAGGACATTGGAGATAAACAACCCTCACCTTGATCATAGCCGCTGTTGACAGCATTTGCAAGAAGCGACAAAGAAAACTTTCTCATTCACGGTGAGTTAACAGAAACAAATAAAGCTCTACTTTTCTTCTCAGAATTGGGTAGTAATTTAATGTTTCGGTGTTTTCTTTTAAACCGTTGATGCTCAAGCTTACAAAACTCGATACAAAAAAGATTAAAACTATCATTTGCCATGTTTGAAGATACTGTAAAGATCTAACTTTTGCGCATCCACTGTTTACAACTTCGTGTTCACACACGAATTCACCCGCCAATCAAACTAATCGCTTTTTAATAGTTTCCTTTCTGATTCTGTTGAGATCACTTCGTGTGAATAATTATACTAAGACAATTATTCACCTCAGGCTCAGTTAATATTGTTGAATAATCCCCTCGACTTCATCTCGGGATTATTCAACAATCTTAACTTCACCTTCGGCGAATAATTGTTAATTACATGTAAAATGCACTACAAGAAATAAACTTTCTATTCAGTAAATGTACAAATGAAAATTATTATGATACAGGACTGTTGTCAGGTATAAATGAATACAATTAGTAGGTGGGGGATTGAGGTGCCTAGATGTTTGCATTCTTTTTCTATGAAAGTAGCCAGGGGGTCATGTTCTAAGAAGTCAGGGAAAATCTCTGGTCTCTGGCTCTTAGCAACAGCCACTAGGGCATTTAAAAACCTTAACAGGAAGTACAAATGTGTAAGCTTTTATTTATTTGATTTGCAAACAGGTGCAAACTAAACGAAAATCTTATGAAAAGATTTTTTTTATAATTAGAATCAATAAAATAAAATCATTTGGGTTAATTTGGTTACATGTATTCTGACATTTAATTATGAAATCTCAGCGAATTCCAAACATTAAAATACAAACAGACACCCACCTTCTCGTCCATTACTCAGCTCATCGATTTCCCGTGTCATCTGTTCAATTTCTTCTGTTAACACCTGATTTTCACCTCTAAGATGCCTTACATCTGCAGACTGAATTGTACATTTAAATACTCAGTTAAAACAGAACAAGGATGGTGACAAGACTATAACTCTCTGCTAATATTACAAAACCTTCGAAATGTACATACCGGTATGTATGTTATGGTTGAATTTTTTTCCTTTTTTTTTGAGTAAGGCAATGCACATAAATGATAATGAGTTTGGAACAAAGGAAAAAAAATAATCCAAGAATAAAAGAGTACCCAACCTGTACATAGTCAGAATGAAGAGTTCTTCACTAGAAGCTCTTGAAAATGTCAAGGCTCTAAGCTGAAGTCAAAAGGACTATACCTTCCAGAGATCTTTTAACACCATGGATAAAAAAGCCTTTTCAAGGTTTGTACTCTTTTGAGCTCTCCAAATTACATGACTTTCCATGACTTTTATCATGACCTTTCCAAGTTTTCCATGACCATAGGTTTTGCTGTGATGTTACAAAGTTCTAAACATTTTCCTTGTTTTAGGGTATTTTTGACCTAACTCTGATAATGACATCTATAGTGACTAATCTACCAAACTGCTAATTTTCCATGACTTTCAAGGACCGACAATTATCCTATGACTTTCCAGGCCTGGAAAAATAATGAAATTCCTAAATTTCATGACTTTCCAGGTTTTCCATGACCTGTATGAACCCTACTTTTTCATGGGCGTAAAATATGCCAAGTGGGGCACATTTGTCACCAAAGTTAATTTATTAGTGCCGCAATCAATCATACATGTACATTGTGCCATGTACATTGGTTATTCCAGAAAAATTCACACCCCCACGACGGAAGGCACGATTTTTTGACCCCCACATCCACCTGGATTTCCAAAACTGCTTGAGCCCCCCTCCACTTAGGATTTCCAAGGTTCAAAGACCCCCCACCCACCTGGATTTCCATAAAATTGTTAGGCACCATGATTTTACTTTACACTCAATGTGGAAGAATCCTTTTAGGCACTTAGATGATCTTTTTATTAAATAAGTCTCAATTTTCCGTGAATTCTGTGTTTGTTGTGAACGTTAAGATTCCATTTTCACATCTTCTTAAACAGGCTTACACTTTTTGCATATAAGCTCATATTTGAGTGAACTTCTCTTTTTTCTAGAACAGGCAAAATACACAGTAATATGTACTACAATAAAGCTCAAAACCAACTATGTTCTCGAATAAATGGTTCTCTTCTTTGTGGATAAAAACTGACCAAGAAAGAAAGAAAAAGGACACTTTGCGTGATATTACATGACACGCTGTACCACTCGCCACAACACTTGCCTTTCAAAATGGCCGCCTAACAATCACGAACAACCACGCTTACAAAATGTACTTGTAAGGCCTGTTTAGTGGTAGATAACCCTGAAATAGAATTAACCTTGGAAAAATGTATAATTCAAGGTAAAATAATTGTTTGCCTTCCTTGAACTGAGTACTTTTTTTATGAATTATGAGATTTTTCTTGATATCTTCAAGTTATCGCACGTCACCTCTACGAAAGTAACGAGGGCGAGCCTATGGATGGAAACTTAAAATAAATGTGGTAAGAGGTCTGTAGTTTGAAAGAATAATAAATTTTGAAAAAGCAAAGCAATTTTTTGAAAACTTATTGATTGAAGCGATTGAAACATCGATGAAATCGAAAGTTACCCCCGAGGATGTATTTTTAGTTTCAGAGGCCCCCTCACGTCTGAATTTCCAGAGCCGTTAACCCCGCCTACAGTGAGATTTTCCAGCATGCCTTCCGTCGTGGGGGTGTGGATTTTTTCTGGAATAACCCATTGCACCTGCCCTACACCATAAAGGTCTAACTGTTAATACCAGTAAACTTACAGTGGGATAAGGAGCAACCCGGAACTTTTTGTTGATTCTGTCTGTTTCTTTTTCTTGGCATTCACTTCTTAATCTGATTAATTTATGATGTTCATTGTATATTTCCTGTCAAATTAAAAAGAGTTGTATCAGGTATGACTTCTCAACAAAATATCAATGTTACCATATTGTATTCATTTCAAGGATTCTGAACAACTCCACTTCTAACTTCAGCAGTAATGCTAGTACACAAAATTATTACTAAAAAGAATATGACACTAGTGTATGGCTTGGGCTTGAACAAAGGGCTGACCTTTGGAGTATCCATAGTGTATTTTTAATTAAAAAGTTACAGTTACAGCACTATGGAATTACTTTGAGGGAGCCACGCAAATCAGAAAGTTGACACCTTCAAGGCTTTTTTGTTGCTGTTGTTGTTGTTTATGTGTGACAACCACAAGTTTTGAGATCTGTGGTAGATGTACCGGATATTTACATGAAAATAGTGGGGGAATACTTATAGTCTTTATTTCCTTGTCGCATCAAGGCAGGAGTAAGTCACAAGAAGTGCCAAGTGTGATTAGGTTACAGCCCTCATCTTTACTGTAGGTGGATAAAATCACAAAGTCAAACCTTTTTAAGGGTCTCCAATCTCTGCCGCTGATGACAAAGTAAAGCTGCAAGTTAAAAGCAACATTTGTTCACAGTGTTGAACTGTACATTTATGCAAAATGCAAAAGAGTAAAATTACTTTTTCTTTGCACAGATTGACATTTTATGCATGTGCATACTGCAGTTTGGGTCTATTTAAGAATATCATGGTACACGAGATAATGAATTCTAGTCACTTGTAGTATTTGGCTACAAATTTCTGGGATTTGATGGCCAATTCATGTACTTTAGATGCACTGACATCTGTACCATACAGGTACAGATAACATTACTGCGATTTCATGGCCTAATTCCTACCAAAATGTAGCATGTCTGAAACTGCATCATGTACACAGACGTCTCATTGCACCAGGAGAAAACATGGGAGTGTTAAAAACAAAAGTATTCTTGAGTAATTGATTAAACTTCACTCAACAGTGACATGGTGATTTTATTGATTTTGATTTAAGGCATACCACAGAGATGCTGTTTCCGATTTTTTCAAAGCTCTTTTTTTGTGCTAGCAAAGTGAGCTCAATTTAAATGCACCATAAGTGGGAAAAATCCCCTTCCCCATATAGCCTTCATTCATTCATTTGGCTTGATCCGGAGTGGCCTGCGAAAACAGCCATCTCTCCTTGCTCCTCCACTAGAGGTATTTTCCCAGCAGGTACGCCTGCGCCTCAGCAACAGAAATTCCATACTGACAATGACAAATCTGTCCTCAATCTGGTCAGTAGCTCTGATTTGTTGATGTAGTGGTTAAGTTATTTTAGTTATTGTTTTCGAATGATAGACAAAAGACGAATGGTCACAAAGGTCAAATGTAAATGCAACGAATCTACTACAAAACAGTCAATTTTCGTGGAATATAAATTATTCTCTTTAACAGAAGCACTTGAGTTTTGCTGGAGCTTGTTCGCCTAAGAACACAAAACTTTAACATAATCGACAATGAAAAACATAAATAGGCTGGATAGGTAACATAGGCTAGATCACGAGATCACCTAAGTAGGTAGTAGTGGCCCTAGCCCTTATTCATAACCATAAACAAAACACATACTTTGATCATATGATGCAACTGCAGAGGGTGGTGGTCTGTCAGCTGAGACAGGTGACACAAATCCTGCACTAGGACTAGGTTGTGCGACTGTCATCGGCCTTATTGCTGGATGAAGAGGTGGTGTTATTCTATTCAGAACATATGGGGACGTAGTTGAAGAGGGGATTGTGATAGATATTGGTTCATCTATCGGTGTGTTTTGTGATGTTGGCTGAACAGGCATTGGACTGTCTAACACATCAATTCCACCATAGAGGATTTTGTCACTCTCCACTGCGAGAACGGCCAGACACCTTTCCGGATTCCCATGCTGAAAAAGAAGTAATTTTTTTTAAAATTCCATTGGCTAAAATGGCTTATAACACTAACCTTTGAATTTACACTTACATGTAAAAGCCACGAAAAAAGGTTTATTAAAATATCTGTAAAAGAAGACTTCAGAAGAAGTCAAGATGATTGAAAATGGACATTCACTATTATTCAGAAAGCCACCACTGGGTTTTGACTTTTCAACAAAAGTACATGTTGATGAAGCCCTTTACTTTATATAATAGTCAGACTTGACTTGTATTGACCTTATATGACTGTAGCTAGCATAAATTACATGTACTGTCAAACTTTGCAGTGGACAAAAGAAGCTGGTATGTATTTCTTTTTTGTCACAATGCCTTCAAACCCTTGTCTCTATCAGAGAATGGTATTTAAAATGATAATTATAAAAGTTAATAGTAAATAACACTTCTGTGTTTTCAACCTTTAATTCTAGGCAAAAAAGCTTAGTGAATTAAAAGATAAGCACAAATTACTCATATATAATTGACTTATAAGCTGTGAAAACAAGTTAATCTTGTAGCTCACTATTCATTTAAAGTAGAATGAATAGGGATTTTCTGATTGTACTTTAAACTTATACTTCATCACATTTATGTTACTGATTTAATTAGATTTGACATTAAAATAGAGATCAAAATGAAATTAAACTCTCTATCAACTAAGCTTTCTTGCTATTCTGCAGTTTGTCACTTTATCCCCAGTAGAAAACTTGTTGAACGTACCCCAACAACTTGTTATCACCTTATAAGACCACATAGGCGATAATAAGTTTACCTATCAAAGAACATGTGATTTAACAGCCCTCTTCCTGTTTTACATGAACGTAGATAGGCAATGATTCATAGACAAATTTATAGTTATGACGGTCTGCGTTCAAAGTCAACGATTCTCCAATGTCGTGATTACTTTATTTACCTGCTAAGTTAACTTACCTACCAGCAGATAACACATGATTAGGTAACACACAACCAGCGTGTACGAGAAATGTACGCTCACTTTCGATCTTGACTAGAGCGACGGGCAGTATTTAACATTCTAGTGCAGTATATTGATAATGATTTCTAGTTGCATCTTTTCCTCTTGTACACAGCTTACAGCCGCCAAATGTTAAAAAAGAAATACCCATTAAGTCTCGACGCCGTCTTTTGGGAGAGATTTTCGTGATCTCTTCCTGCAATATTTCACCTTGCAACTGTATGATGCAAACAACGTTCAAGGTTTCAAATTTGTTTACAAATGAGTGTGAAAAATGGCTGGTATCGTCCCCAAGGATATTTTGCAATTGAATCAATTTGTCGATGAGCATACTTTATTACTGCAAAACGAGGAAAAGCACTGTTTCCAACACAACTGACTACCCGGTTCGTATGTACTTACTTGGTTTACACGCTATTTTTCTAGACAACACCTCCACAGCAATACAACCCACGTTCAAAAAATCCGAAAGAATATAACAACGAGGCGTTTGAACACAACAAAATAAGCTGAATTAGATCACCTTGAACCAGAAACAAACAACAGCTGACTGTACCGACAAATTCTCCAGAGAAATGACGAAACTGAAATAACAAAAGACAACAGTACCTCGGTTTGTAGCGTTCGAGAGATGACTTGTTCCGGAATCTCGGGAAATCGATTTCTGAGGGCCTCAAATATCTGCCCGCTGTGGCCGTTTCTCTCCGCTGCCATAAAAATTGTAGTGTCCACCATGTACAAGGCCTTATGTGTTACCTTCTATAACGTCTCTTGTATGTTTTAAGGTCAAAAAAGGTAAAAATAAGGAAGGAACTCTGACAAACTTCTACCAAATGCTTTGAGCGACGTCAGATTAGACACGTACTGCGCATAACATTGAGGCACGTGACTCACCAAAAGTAGCCATCTTGCAATTCTCGTCCCCAGGTTCCTCTAGATTCTTTGCAGACTTCGGGCAGGAACCTAAAGGGAAATACATGGTCTAGCGCTCATATTGATTGTGTGACAAACAGGGCTACCTATTACATGTATATTGCCATTGGGCATTGGAGTCCAGCACCACTATATTGGTCCTGATTAAGGGAGTCAAATTAGACTCAAAAATTGGACTGCATTTTAGTCACCGAAACAGCCCCATTTTTACGGTTAAAACAGTTCTCAATTTTTGATTTTCAATGAAACTGTTTCCGGGTCTCAATGAGGGTAACTGTCGGCCGTCAAACAGCCTAAAATTTTTCCGTCAACGGTCAGCTGAAAAGGTGATTTTTTAATTCCGTTAACTGTACAAAATTGCAGGTTAATATTAACCGTCAAACAGTTCAAGGTATTTCAAAGCTCGCTACTTTAGCTGATCTTCACGGACTTTTGAAGAATCGAAAAGAAACTGCCCAGTGGGAGGAACCATTTCCCATGTTCTCAAAAACACTCTCTAGACATTTTAAGTTTTATCTGAAAATAGTTCGAAATTTTATAAGTGACAGGCCAAGCACCTCTAAAATACAATATTTATTGTTAATTTATACGGGACTAAATATTTACGTAAACTCTTGGGCTAAATTTCCTCAGTAATAACCGTCAACCGTGAAAGCTACGCCACTCCATTGAGACCCTCTTGTAGATTTTGTCTACCTATCAGAAAATATTAGATTCTACGCACAACTCGTATCTAAAACGAAACTTTTTGCGAGTTTTGCTTTATGACAAAAATCGTAACTTTGTCTAGGCCGCCCGTGGAAAAGCGTACATACAAAGAAAAAAGAAAAAACTTTTTCAAAGAACAAGTTTGTTTTGAAAAATTAATGTTCATCTTTTGATCAAATCTCTAAGATATCAGTGTTACAATAAATCCGGCTTTTCGTCATTGACAGTTTTAAAAGAAAAGGTTCTTGTGGAACAACCACGCTCTGCTGAACTTAAATACACGTCACTCTTTTAAAACGTTCAAGCTTTGTCAAAATGCATTTGAAGGTAGGTACGTTTAGTTCAAGTTTGCTCTGCCACCGGAGAGGCAGGTTAATAAAACAACAAAACAACAAGCTTTAGTTGCGGAGTTTTAAGAATTTTTGGTACCTAGATATGGAATTACGTACTTTTTGCTGCGTTTGTAAACTGACAAGACAGAATTCCAATGATTGATTAAAAAAAAAAACAATCAAAAAAAGAAAAAAACAAAACAAAAATCAAAAAAAAAAAAACGTCTTGCTATCCAAACCAGCCTTTCTTTTTGTTTCTCGCCAAATTATTTATGACTTTGAAAAAGAACACGTCATACGCTATTAGTTTATGCGTACTTGAATCATTACAAAAGAATTACTCTTGGTCCTTTTACTTTCACCACACAGGATCCGCTTCACTGTACTTGAGATCGAGAGCTGAGAGAAAATCACTCCAAGTGTCCGAAGGTACGATAACATTTTTTACTCTTTTTCTTATTATTTGTTCTTTAAGCAGATAAAATGTCGATATTGCTTACCTAAATTCTTTATCGGTTTTTTCTTTCTTTCATCTCGTCTTATCATTTAGTAATACGTGGATTGAACAAATTGAGGGATGTATAAGATAAAACCCAGATTTTCCGGTAACCGAAAAGTGCGCGCAAAGAAATGGGGGTTTAAGTTTTCAAAAAGAGATGTCTGAAACGTAAGCTACCCTAAGCGGCCTCTGTAGATTTAGATTTTTAATAATGGAATTCGTTAATTAACTTAAAATTCTTCAACAACGTTCCTAAAAATGTTAAAACATCTTCACGTGAGAAAGCGTTTATAGATTCTCTATAATACTTTGTTGAGTACAATAGTCATGATCGAATACACAAATTGTTTTGAATGCTTGTCTGCATTTTTGAACGCACGATCCTTTCATACAACTGATGCAATCCACTGAGTCCATTAAATGAAATTCAATTTTCACTGAAGAAAACTGCTTTTGGAAAAGGACGTTTCTGCAAGACAAAATATCAACTTAGCACACTGTAATTGACGATCATTTTTTTAAAATCAGATTCTCGATCAGATCTGTTCGATCGGCGTTTGCAATGAAACGACGGGTTTACACTATCACTGAAAATTTTCATTCAAATTCGATCAGCGTTCTAAAGGGTGTTCACACTACCCAAAATGTTTCGAGAACGAGAAATTAAGATTGACAGCCTCTTTATGGGTATTTCCGGCGAAATCGAAGTCGCAACGATCACTTTTGATAAAACAAAGATCCGTTAGAAATCAGTTTATGATGATGCTCAAAACGTTGTTTGTTCAAAGTTTTTGTTTTGCTCATTAAACTTTTGCGTTGTTTTATTTGGATCGTTTCCTTCGTCGTCATCGTGATTGCTCAAGCTCGCCAGTTGCATTACCACGCAAAACAATTCTTGATATGCGGCGATCTCTTTGAAAAACAGATCATAGTGAAAAACCTGCGACAAAAACGACGTCTCCAGGTTGCCTTCAAGGATCAAAAAAAGGGGGAGTTTTTAATCTGATTTCTAAACAATATTTCAAGATTTTGTTGGAGAGGCACCCTCTTTCGTTTCCATTGTCTTGTCGTGGCAGGATTAGCTCAGTCGGTAGAGCGTTTGACTGCAGAGCGGAAGGTCGTGGGTTCGATTTCCGGGGCCTGACCAGTGCTCAGGGTCTTAAAATATCTGAGAAATGAAGGTACCTCCCTTTGTACTGCAAGCGGCGAGACCTTCGCGTGGCTCGGATGACCACGTAAAATGGCGGTGCCGTCTCCAGTTCGAGACGTAAATACCTTGACACTCAAATAAAGCGCATTTTTTTTGTTTAATTGTCTATCGTATGCAGCTCAACCATTGATCGATTAAGAATTCCTCAAAATACAGGCCTGAGAACATTCTAAGTTATGACGAGATTGGTCTTGAGATTGGCATTTATCACGAACGAAGGATACCACAAAATAAATTATTTCATGCACAATGTGCAATACATATACTGACAAATAATTTTGACGTTTTTTTTTTCATCTAGGTGCGATAACTATGTCCTCTTTATCATTCCTGGGACCAAGTCTGTTGGTTTTTGTGATTATATTTCTATGGAACTCAAGCGGTTATGCACTTCCTCATGAAGGAAATTTTAAAGTTACAGGACAAGAGAAACAGTTTGACCCAGTCCCAGATCCTGCTGGCGAATTTTGTCAAAGAAACAAGAACCCTGCGGGGTTGGGGTTTATTGGTGTGAAGTACGATCTACTGAGCGGGAACCCAGAGGGTAACAATGCTCTGGGGGGTGTTGATCCGGGATTTGATAAAACCAAGAAAATCTTAAAGCTGACCACAGAAGACGGAGATGCAGTCCCAATCCAGATCTGCTACGAAGAAAGACAGTCTTGTGCAACGACCAAATCGTCAAAGATCTTTGGTGGAACCAAACGTTATCAGGAGAAACTAAGCGTTGATGTCAGTGCTGAAGGTGTGTTGTTGGCTTTTATGCTGTAGGCTTTTGTGTATTTTGTTCCCCACTGAAATTATCTACCTTAATGATCCATTTTTTCCACTAAGACTTAAAAATCTTCCGATAATGTTCAATATACAACGGCTTTTTAATCAATTTTAACGTATAAGTAGTCAACGTATACATACAATTTAATGGTTTTAACTGACAGAAAGCGACAAATAAAGCGCACTAAAATGCTCGAATATTGCTTATTAATAATGCTTTTGCCTCACAATGATACTTGAAAAAAATGCCTCTGAAAAACCAAGGAAAAGGGGGATGGTATTCTAAAAAAAACCCCGCAACAGCAACAAAGCATTTGTCGTTTTCTTCTGAGTGAGTTAGGGCCACGCTTAGGGTTGATGAGATGGAAGCTATATTACATGGTTTTTCGGGTGGGGGAGAGGGAGTCCTAAAACGAGTAATCACTGTCGAATTTGTTTATTCCATCAATAGGTCATTTCCTAGTTCCCCCGGGCCTCTGTATCAAAACGAGGTTAAGTGCCCAGCCTTTGATGTGAAAATGATTTTTCATTCTCATGCAAATAAAACTCAATTCCACAAGAAAGGATGTGCACTTGGTCTCATTTTGAAAGTGAGGGTTTTTGGAACTCGTAAGTGGCCTATTATATATTGCTTGCTTTGAGGGTGTTTACGGTCGTTATTGCAAGAAGGTCAAAATAATCACTTCCACCTATAATATGCCAATATTGTCCTCAAGATTTAAAGTTCTTCATTGTACATTGCCTTTTGAAGAAAATTACGACAAACATACCGTCGCAGGGAACACAGTTTGACATTGCTCTTGAAAATCATGCATTGAGACGCAGCCTACAGAACTGATTAGTCAGTTATCTGCTGGTAGATAACTAACTAATCTGTAGGTTGCGCTGATTTGCAAAATTAACTGTAGGTTCCTAGCAGAGTTTCTTGTCCTAGCCAATGAGAAGTAAAGTGTATGATAATGTCAGTTTTTTCACCCCTAAGAAACCATTTAACGTTGCTTTTTCCTAACAAAAGCGCAGGCAAAGATGGCGGGTATCGTGAATGCTCTCTTTTGTCAATTCTTTTTTGTGTGTGTTATTATTAATTTTAGCTTTTTATTTGTCATTTTTAAAACAGCTGGATACTCCGGATTGTTTGACTTTTCCTTCAGCTTAAGTTCAAGTAAGTTCCTTTTGTTGAAACTTTATCGTACTCTAAGTAATAATAGTTAAAAACAGTTTTATTGGCCAAAAACATAAAATGAAAGTAAAGTAACGATATCAAACAGCAAGTGAAAGTAGTTTTCTATCTAATGGACCAACTGTTTACAATCTCGATGGCTCAATACACATTTTATCACCACAGCTTCTTTTAAGAGCTTTGAAAGACGACAGCCGTACTGAAAGTTGTTTCTAACTGATTTTCCTTGCAGAGTATGAGCAGATGAAAAAAAAGCACTCAAAGTGGAGAAACGGTCTATCGTGACTGCACAGAAATCTGCAATAAAGGTGAAGCAAGATACCGACTCAAATTAGTAGAAAACTACCAGTGGACACTGACCGAAGAGTTTGCTGCTGATGTTTGTGGATTAACAGTAAAATTCAGGAACCGTAAAGACAAAAAGACATACTTCGATTTCTTGAATTATTGGGGAACAGTAAGTTGAAAGCATGGTGATAGACCTCTTTACCTGGTATGTTTTGTTTTCCTAATGACCCATGGAACCTTTTTCTTTTCATAAATTATGAGTGCATATGCACGGGAATAAGACGAAATATGAAAGAAACAGTTCTTTAGAGTATTATAACATAACCTTCTTTAGGAAAACAACACATGCGAGCATTGCCTTTAGGGAACATGAGTTTCGATTAAATAAATGTTAAATCTTTATTTAATAAAGTTGAATTACTTACATTGAAGTAGTCTTTTGTCGTTTCTGGTCAATTCTGGCCGTATTTTGTTGTAAAAGCCTGGAAATACCCTTTGTTTTGATTCAAAGGTAGATCAGCATTCATTAAAACTTGGTAACCGAACATTCTCTTCGAATCCTGGGGCGCGGACGCTAAGTGCGTGGAGTATTCTTACTAGTAAAAAGTGACCCAGGGGTTTTTAGTAGAGTACTCCACGCGTTTATCGCCCGCGCACCAGGATTTGAAGAAAACGCTCGGTTACCAAGTTTAAATGAACGCATATCGACTTCTGAATCAAAACAAAAAGTGTTTGTAGGCTTTCTACAATAAATATACGGCCAGAATTGACCAGAAAGGACAAAAAGCTACTTTAATGTAAATAATTCAACTTTATTAAAAAACGATTTAACCTTTATTGAGTTGAAACCCATGTTTCCTTTGCCCATGATTTAATATTCATGAGACAAAAACAAAACGCTATGATATCATCGCCGTTAATTTTTTTTTTGTTACCGCAAAGTAATGAGATCCCTCCTCAAAGATGGTCAATTCGACGCGCCCTATACTACTCCAGGGTCTATTGTTCACTAAACAAAAAACCTCTGCGTTGAAGGTATCATTTCGCGGTGGTCGAATATATAAAATTGACTGGAAAAAAATTTGACGACGGCTCTCCTATCTTGTTTATCTGTCTTACCTAGCATGTTGTAGTTAAAGTCGTACTGGGGACGAAGAAAATCACGAGATTCAGAAGTTCACTTCAAGAGTTCATATCTTACGCTTCAGAAAATGTAAGTTTGTACATTAGTGCACAACACACCTTATAAGCTTATTCCCCTATTGTTGGATTGTGGATAGGGTAGAATTTTTTAATCATTCGATTTCATCTTTCTTTGTTTTTTCCTTTCTGGAAAAAAAAACTAGAGCAATCACTCACGCTAAGGAAGTGTTACAGTTTTTCTACTAAGTTGTAAACAGCCTATGAACGGCTAGTAAAACTAGGTTTAACTAATACAGTCAAATCCCGTTTTACGGGCACCCGCTTAATAAGGACAGTTAACATTGTCCCTGGGGAAAAAAAGCCTTTACATTTTCTTTTAATTAATCTCTCTTAATATGGGCACTTTCTATGGCTCCCTCTTGGTCCGTATTAACGAGGTTTGATTGTACGAGTAAACTCTCAGAACATACAAAGTGTTGACAACTAGTAGATCATAATAACTGCCTTGCAAGAATTCGCTAAAAACCGTTTCTCCCAAAAGTCGATTTGCCAGACGACGTGTCGCCCGGACTTATTTGACTCGCCCGATGACTTTCAACACTCTCCTGCTCGACGTGCAGTCACTGTCTTTACGGTTATTTTTTTGTCAGGCTTAAAGAACGACAAATTCATATTGGGCGAATCGACTTAAGTCCGGGTGAACTGTCCGCGGGCGAAAAGGACCGAATGCCCCGTTGAGAAAGAGTCTATTACATTCCGTCTACGTTGCTCGTGCATAGAAACAATTGCCAAGCTTTAGTTTTTGCTTAAGCAGAAAACTTAAACAAGTTTTTATATGATCTTCTTTAACATGGCATGTTAGCTTGACCCTTAAAAGTGATTTGTCCGTACACAATTTTCACACTAGTTGACAGTTATCAGTTTTGCCGAATGTGCATAGATAAACCTTCAGTTACCCAGTTCCATGCTTAAAAAAACGTTGTAGGGTGTTTTTTTTTAGATTTCCTTCCAAGATGTGTTTCACAATCGGCTATCCTTTTGTTAAGCTATAATAACTGTTTGCTAATCTATGTTTGTCAATCTTTCTCTGTCAATCTATCTGTTTCGCAACCCGCAGCCTATCCTTTTGTTGTGCTCTTTTCTTGCCTCGATCGTATTATTAGATTGCCATACAATCCAAGTTGAACTGTTTTTTATGGTCTATAAAAAATTTCAGGCTACCAACAGTTTTTCCGTGTCCGGAGGTTATGCAGGTTTTAAGGCATCAGCGAGCGTTGACGTCAATAAATTTGAGGAATCAGAGGAGAGTAAAAAAGATTTTGGAGAAGAACAACTTACTTATAATATCGGTGGAGACAGTCTTCCTGAACCGATTCAGGTGACCTTAATGGGAATCGAAGAGACGCTGACGCCGACGTTTTGGAGCAATTTAGAAGAGCTGAAGAAAAAGAGATCATGCAAAAAGATGACGCTTACAAAACTTGGAAAGTTTTTAAGGAACATGAGACAAGCGATCAAGCAATACCCGAAAGAAATGCACGTCAAGCGAGCTAAAGGTGTTTATACTATCCATTTACACCTTGATGTTATGAATCAGTAGCAAACATCTTTAGTGCTGTACTAGGCTTATCAGTCATGATCAGAGGGTATTCAGTTTACAAGTACCAGTTCTTTTTTTCATCAACAGAGTCTAGATTTTGTTGAATCAAGTAAGATCAGGGTCTGGAATTTGCATGGCTTCAATTCATTTGAATTTAAAAGTAGTTTTTATTCTTGTAGAATTAGTTACCTTTAAAACTGGTTACTTAAAAAAAATTGATGTCGTAGTTAGTGTATTATTGTAAACACTTATATCAATTGCTTGGCTTAAGTGCTGACTAGTCAACATTCGAAGTTAACTATATATCGTTACCCTCTAGCCTAAAAAGAGGGGTGGCGAATGGTACCTCGAAAAACGTGGGTCTCGGAAAATTTTGGCAGGATCTCGAAATCTCGGAAGCGTTTTTGATAAATCTCGAAGTTTCGTTTTTTCATGGTTTGTTTTTACTTTTTTTGAGTCTCGAAACTTTTCACCAAAGAGTCTCGGGCTCGGATTTCTAACTAGGATCTCGGCGTCTCGGCGGGTCTCGGATTTTACCATTGGCCACCCCTAAAAAGCGATGCTGTTCAAGACTCTTAAAGCACTTACTTATTAATAGTTGAGCGACTTACAAGTACCGAAAATGATAAAGACAGTGCAGTAATTTGCGCAGATGCCGAGCTTACGCGCGATGTGACGCGGAAAGATTTATCATTTCTCTCATCCAACGGTATACTGGCAACTGAAACTCTTCGTTATCCCCGGCGGCCATGTTGTGTCTTTTTTAGCAGGCAGCAAATCGGGTTCTTGGAGGGCGTTGCGCGCGGAAAATTGACGGATGGTGTGTCACACAAAAAAGTCGAGCAAAATGCTCCCGCTACTAATAGCCTGTTCCAGGCTCCGAGATAGTCGGGTCCGCTGAATTTAGAACACAAAAATAAAACGGGAGGAAAGTGGGGAGAGGAGGGGCCCGCCACGCTACCTTTTCCCGTCCCTTTTTCTCGTTCCGTGGAATATGACAGTTCGAAGGTCCTTTGAATGTAATATAGCAATAAAAGAAACAACCAACTAAAAGCAATTTAGTGTCATTGGGAGTTATATATATTTTTTAAACCTGCACTAGGAACCATTTTTGAGGACTTCAACACAGTCAATTCAAAGGTAATTGTTAATCAGTCTATTTTCTCTGCAGATAATCCCATGGAACTTCAGCTTTCCTGGCCATCTGGATATTACTCGCTGTTTGCTGCTACCCATGACACCTCCTTAACAAAGGTGTGCCCTCAGGGAATTGGATTCCAGTGGCGGCATGGCAGTATAACAGACCAAAATCATATTATATTTAAATCATTACCAACCTTAATGGCGTCGTTAAAGATTAACATTAAGCAGATTGGAAAGACTGGAGATTGGGAAAATTTTGGCGGTGTGAAGTACGAATTCTGCACAAAGACACAAGACCCTGGCAGCCAATACTTCAGCCAAGACTGGCCTAAAGGAAGATACTGTATCTTACGAAAGAGTAGGATCACTAGAGAACCAAAATGTCCAAGACGTAAGTTAGATCTTTTGTATTATTGTTGATGAGCCGATAGAATTCCTTTGACTTGGGGTCATGAGAACCTTGCTTTTTAAGCTTAACCCATTCGCTCCTGGAGATTTTGCCGAAAAACACGTTTTGAAGCTAGTCTAGTGGTTTTCTGGTCACTGTCGTGCTATAAAGAGCTAAAACTTACCACAAACCGGTTTACAGGCCGTACACTTCGCGGCCTTCTGATCCAGATGCAAAATACCAGCTTGCGAAGTTCGGGCATGCACAGAAAGCAAAATTTGGGTTTAAAAGTGACACAGCAGTCTTGACTTTTACTTTTCGCTTTCGCTCCTCCCCTCTTTTTTTGCTTTTCTTGCCTCATTTTTTTTTTCTCTTGCTGGGCATTTAGTAGGCTTCGTTTTGGTGGGAAGAGTTTTTAGAAAAGCTTTTAGGATCTTAGGATTAGGTGAAAGGAAAGGTAGGTGAGCAATGGAACAAGATTTTCATGGAGATTTTCAGGTCAATGTCACATGATTTTTTGCTTCTTTCTCCGGTGTCCTTGACTCAATTGTGCTCATTCTGGTATGGTTTGAAAGATCTCTTCACTCTGCACAAGTTAGCAGACAAAGTTTCCTTGATTGTTAAAACTGATGACGTCACAAAGGGTAGAAAGGACGCGAATCCGCACGGGCGGTTACAGGCGGTTCAGGGGTGAATGGGTTAATTATAGTTTACACTGCCTTTCGGTTCTTTGTTCTTGCACGTTTCGGTCTGCTACCTTCTTACATCGTACCCAGATATCACATTGTCTACCCTGGGTACCAGAGGTTTTTTCTCGCGTGCGACGGGGAGCTTCATTTTTTTCGGCCGCAGGCCGAAGACACGAGCGGCGAAGCGCGAGTCACTTTTTAAGACTTGACCGAGACCGGAAACCGCGCATGAAAAGCCTCTGGCACCCAGGGTACATTTTGTCTTACAGTACGCTGAAAAATGAGATCGCCGGATCGTGTGTCAAACCACACCGCCTCCCTAATATTTCGCCTTTGTTTTTTAATCATCAGATTTCGAAGCTGCTTCTGTGATGTGGATTGATGAATTGGATTACGGAGCATTTGAAGACTCTCTGAGACCTCCGTTGAAAAAAGGAACATACCCTGATGGCTCATTCGAAAGTAAAAAACACTTGAAAATAGAATTCTGTTGCAGGCAGGATGGCTTTGTCGACAACGGAATCCATTTACCTCTCGGTAAGGTTCCTTTTACTTTGTTTAGATCTGGTGTAAAGGAGGTTTAATATCGTGGATAAAACACTGGTATCAAAGTGGGCCTGGTGGGGATGAAAAATACTGTAACACAAGAGCAAGAGAAAATGAAAAGATCGAGTTGATAATTGCAGGCGGACTGGTCATTATTACATCTATTTCATTGTATTTTGAAATCACTGGTGATCCTTGCAATCCGATTGGCTCTTAGCAGTGTGATTTGCTTTCCATTTCGGTTTTGAGCGAAATTTGTTGGTAGTTTCACCTTTTTAAAAGGAATATTTTTTTGTAAACGAAAACGGAAAGAGAACTCATCACACTTTGTAAGCGAAGGTTGTTGAAATTACCGAACAATCTTCTACAACCCAACACAATTCAAAAATTCCATTCCGATTGGCTAACAAACTCGCTATCTACCATTTACAGCATGGCCAGAAAAGGGCCGGATATCACAAAAACCAAATCCCGTAAATCCTATAACATATAGATTTAGCCAGGGCTAAAAGCGAAGCCTCCGTTTATATACTTATGATAAAAGCAATCAAATTTGAACTAATAACATGAACTCTACGCCAGAAAAAGAGAAATCTTCAAATTCCTTCTTAATTTTAGGAGCCTTCAGCATCAGTTTACCTCTAGAGGGAGGGGTTAAATGATTAAGAAAGAATATCCCTCAAACGCACCTGAAATGAAAAAAAAACTCTCCCAGCCAGCTAAAAGACGTATATTCACAGGATAAAAATCACTATGCATCAAGTCCGATCACAGATAGAATTCTTCCAAACTACGTATACATCATCGAACCACCCCCCACCCAGCCTCGTACCCAGGCCAGTTCGCGCTATCCGAGTTACACGACAAGATTGATAGGTGACGTCACATCCGTAATCGCCGAGGACGACTGGGAACGAGGCTGTCACCCACCAAATACACCACATCCCTTTGCGAAGTTATAGGTCTTTCCAGTAGCAGCAATTTGTAGGTTACGATATCTATAATGGAAAGTTTTTACCGTTTCGATACTAATAAGTATAATTCTTACATAAACTGCGCAGTACGTGCTCAGGTGTTGTGCAGTGCATACACTACAAATTATAAACGTTACAACTACTATACAGTCGACTCCCGATAACTCGAACCTTCAAGGGAAATCTTTAAAAGTTCGAGTTATCGGGAGTTCGAGTTTTCGGGAGCTCGAAGCAATAGCCGGAAGTAAGGGAAAACCAGTTTTTACTGTACAGTGAACATTTTTATCATATTTAATTGTACAAATGTTAAGCGAAAAATGAAAGATACTTCTAGATTATAAATCAGAATGTAACGTAAACAACTTAGCTTAAATAGAGCATGCGTTTTACTGTTTTGAGTAGTAAAGCTGTTTCACGTTAGATTTGGGACAAACTTAACATCAGCCTTCACTAGTAAACTATATGCCTACAACACGTTAATGGGAAATTCAAAATCAACGTTTCGGACGACTGTACACTGTTCTTTTTTCCCGACTTTTTAAGCGCTCAAAACATGGTTAGAGTTATCGAGGATAAAATGATATCGAAATGATCTGAGGGGAAACAAAAATTACTTCGAGTTAGCGGGAGGTTCGAGTTATTGGGAGTCAACTGTACTTAAACTTTAAAAAAAAAAGACATGCAAACTCAAGCTCGAAAAACCGACGAGTCTGTTATTAGAAGAAAGGAGAACTCTTTCGTATTTAGAAAAGCTGAAGTTTACTTTTTTCAGCGAGAATAGAAAGTGTAAACAAACGCATAAACTTCATTACCAACCTGAAATTTCTTCAACAACGTCGGTGCCTTGGTTAGTCCAAAATAAACCAAGCACTCAGCCGTAAAGAAAACAAGGTGGAATTCCTAGAATGACAATTTCGTATCGAAAAGCTTTCGTTTGTCCACAAAAAGGAAACTGAGTATTCTTTTGAACTTTCTCTTTCCATTTTTGTCTTTCGTCGGTGTATTTTCAACCATTAAATGCAAAACTTTGAAAACTCTTTGGTAAGCGCACGCCAGCCATTTTGTTGAAAATGTATGTCCTCCACTAAGGCGTCAAATCCGTTTCATCCCATATCCCCTAAAAACTACCAAACATATGCTCACTTGACAGATTCTGATTGGTCAAAAATTTCTTAAGCCTTTTGGAACAGTAGGAATAAAACTCTCTAGCGGAGTGGGAGGAATTCGTATCTATTGAGATCTACCCTGAAACAACGTACGGTAACGTCAAAACCAAATTTTCTCACGTCGATAGACTCCCGTATTTCCTTAGCATTGGGGCTCCGCCGCGCGCTTTGCGAGCGGAGGCTCCGCTATTATACACTGTTTTGAAGAAAATAACGACAAATACACCGCGACGCGCGCAATACCAGGGGAAAGGAGAAAAATGTACAACTGACATTGCCCTTGGAAACCATGCATTGCGGGCGCAACCTTCAGATTAGTCCTGGATTTACGCTGATTTCCAAAATTAGCCAACAGGAAGACAGATAGTGAGTACAAGATATTCAGTTGTGTTTACTTCCTCACCGACGCAGCAGTACAGTTTCATTCATTCATTTTCACTCCTGTTTAAATTTAAAACCGTTTTCATCGCAATTTCTCTGGTAAAACATGCAAGAGCACCTTTATTAAGCAATATTTTTGTTTAAGAAAACTTAACTTTACTTAACATTATAATAGCCTAAGTTTTGTATTGTCAATCATTTTTGCATTGTTTCAAATTCATAGACAACCCGTTTATATTGATGAAAGTTCAAGGATTCCCATGCCAAAAGGTTTGTGGTGCACGTAAAGGAGAATGGTCGATCAAAACCGGAACGTTAGATGACCCATTCGCTAAGGAATCAGTTATTAACGGCACCATCAAACCAGCTGGAAGTACTTCTCGTCAGGCAGTGCAGCTACGTTTCTGCTATTATGCGAAAATGAAGGGCGGTTTGTACCTACCAAATGTTGCGTTCGACCAATCTCCATCTCAGCTCTCTCTCCTTTTCGACTCCTTGAAGCAAGTTGGCATCATTGATGTCATTCGCCCCTGCAAAATCTGCGGGAAAGACAGATTCATTAAATCAACGACCGTTGTCCCATACATTCTTACTCCAATCTATTGCAGGAGTTCGTTTTATTACATTACACTCAAACCTCAATTAAGCGGCCAACATCGGGGTAGAGACACGACTTGCATTAAAAGCTGTATCACAATTAATACATGCTGCACGGTGTCAAAACCTACTTTATTAATAATTTAAACACCTTTACAAATAGAAAAATTCACTGCACTTCCTTTCTGTCCCTTATCCGTTTGCAGCTAAATTCTTGAAGCTTGTGTTCGTTGAGACTCGTGTGAAGGCGAGTACCGCTGAAAGAGAATGTCAAAGTAAAGGAGGTCATCTAGCTAGCATCCACAGTCAGGAAGAAAATCAAAAAATCAAACAGATGGTCGGATCAGGATCAATGGCCTGGATTGGCTTGAAGAGGAGAACCGTGCAAAACAGACCGTGGATCTGGACTGACGGCACTGAGCTACACTTCGGGGAGTGGAAGCCCGACGTTACTGACGATAAAAATTTTGTTTCCATTAGTGGAGACGATGGCTCATGGGAGGCAAAGACTAAAGATCCTAAGCTTCCTTTCGTATGCAAAGTGATTAACTCTTGTCCAGATGAAAATGAGTGAGTTTGAAGGCCGGAATACACGCTTTTCAGCAAATGTAATAAAACCTGAAAAGAAGAGACAGAGCGTAAAGTTATTGATGTGTTACATAACTGAATATCGCATCAACTTACGAGAAGTAAGTTTGAGTTGGGGCTGATAGACCCTTGAGGGGACATTGAGTACGTGGGCAAAACTTATTGTATGTTCAGCCCTGTAGGGTGAAATTGGTCAAATCAAGTTTCTGAGTATGTGGACGCCATATTTTTTACCTTCCAAACGATACTTACTACTTACTCAGTGACTTACTGATTTACTTTATGATACTTACTCACTTACTTACTTACTTGCTTGCTTACTTAATCACTTACTTAAAACGAAGATGTTGAATGCCATGCCCTCCCTGTTTCTTCATAAGCTGACACTAGAGACTGTCTAGAGCTGTAAGCTTGGTCGGCCTGTTGGTTGGAGATCGTTTTGTCAGATGCCTAAACCCGACTTTATCCTGGTCTATCCAGTGTTGGATTCATTGTTCCTACAGTTTCCATCTCTGGTTTTCTCATTTCTGATATTATCTAGCTGGGTTTTTTGACAACAGGCCCTACGCAGGCATCGTATTTTCGCGATCCTAGTCTTTTGGAATGTCCACGTCTGGTGTTTATAAGTTTCGCCAAGAATGTGACTATAATTAAGTTATCCACTGCGCAAAAGAGCACTTTCTCCCAAGACACATTTTCTCATACCTCGAATGTGCAGAGGGCAAATGTCATACAATAAAGTATTTCACAGGGTATTTTGCCGGAGGGGATAAAGTCTTAAAAGTTCTTTGGGATTATGGATTTTATAATTTTTATAAGGTCACCTGAAAATCAAGAATACAATGTAATGAAATACTGTTATCGCGACCCCATTATCATCAATCCAGTCGTGAAAATGCGACCCCATCCAGCGGCACATCCACATTAGCCTCTTATAAGGAAGTATTTCCACGGTTACAATCAGAACCTTCCATCAGGTAAGAAGTGTGGATAGTTTTGTGGAATAATTCAAGTAATAATCATACAATTAGTTGGATTCTTTCAAGGCTGACATTGGACTTTTCTTGAATTGGTTTTAGTATTGCTGATTGAGCTATCATCAACAGGCCCGTTTGCGCTGGTCCACACAGTCGTCACATTCTGTCTGTGCAGAATCGATGTGCCGGGTTGACTTGTTTGAATCCTTTGTCCAGTAGCAGTGAAGCCAGTGTGCTTGCACTAACTAATAACAGACTGTAATTCCTGTGTTTGAAATTGTCTTATTCGAGGTTAAAACGTCCGGTTCGGGGGCTATTGTCGGGCATTCTACGACATTAGTTCCCTAGGAGCTCTATGGTCCTCCCTGTTTGTCCTCCCCTGAAACTTTATTAGCTTAAGCAATGACGTTTTTCAGCGACGCAGATCAACCGGAAGTATACGTTTTGCATTCTTGAGCTGCGGTTTGCCCAAATTTTAGGACAGATCGTCTCTATAAGAGTAAAGACACTTTGAAATACATATCTGGTAGCGTCAAAGCGTTGTTCATTCACGCCTTTGCTTGTTATGTTCCCTAATAACTTATCATACACTTCTAAATAACGTTCTCTTAAACCGTGAAGGCTTTAGTGCATATGGTTCGGTGGAACTTATCCTCGTTTGGAGAGAAAAACATTCGTTTTAGCAATGTTGGTAAACGTTTTTGATCCTGTCGTCGATGTTCGCTGATTTGACTGACAGTATAGCCTTACCAGTAACAGTACGTTCGACACCGAATCTAAATTTACATCAGTTTTAGGTGATTTAAAGCTCAAAGGTAGTGAGATATATAATAGAACTCTTTGACCCTGAGGTCCATATCTTGCACATTTGGTTTTAGCCTTCAGTTTACAAAGTCATGTTTGCAAACATCTTAGCGCAGTTGCTTGAAAAAAACTTGAACACTCTTTGACATTTGTTGGTTCAGCTGCCTGGCAGTGAATGCGAATAGAATTAAAACGTTCAGGTCAGTCTTTCTGAGTAACCTTGGCTTCAGCTAGGGTCAGTGTTTTTATCCACTGGATATCGCAGGGGCGGATCCAGGTTGGAGGGGGGGGAGTTTATTGGGTGGCTACTCAACCCCCTTTAGAACAGCCACCAAAACATATAATGTGTGGGAAAACAAACGGAAATACGTGGGTCACAAAAACCTTGTGAAGCCATCCAGCCTCAGAAATGCAGCTGCAATCGATCGAAATGTGGTTTGTCAGAAATTTGTGGCGCTGTACCCTAGACGAATGATGGCGTCTTCACTTTTGGCCGACTAAGGTTAGTAAGATATTTCTATTAGCTTCTATTTGTTCTATTTTGTGGCGTTTCAAGAGTTTGCAGTGTTACAGTTCCTTAATCGCCATGTTCTGGGACAAACCTAAGGCAACTTGAAATAAACTAATGTATAGTTTGGTGGCCTATTGGTATCAGCCACCCTCCATTAACAAAATCCTTGATGCGCCCCTGTATATCGCCCGCACTTCAGTGAAAGTGCAGGTTCTCCAGTTCGCCATTGTCTTAGAAGACGACTGGCTAGTCATTTTAGCTTTCAGTATAGCGTAAATTGCCCCAGCTCCCCCAGTTATTGGCCGGCCCATTTACCTGTAAAGCAGAAATACATCTAACCTCCCTCTAGCCTCTATTGAAATGAATTTGATTTATAATGATTATAAGACAAGAACAACAATGTTTATTCGCATTACCATTTACACGGATGGTGTTGTATGAAAAGGAAAAAAACAATATATATATATCTAGCCGAATTTTTGAAAACCTACCTGAAAATGCACCAGAATATTCGCACAGAAAGCTGGCGATAGCCAGCTTTCTGGTCACTGCGGTGAGAAAAAACATAGGGGGCTTGCTGTCCTGCTTGGTCTCATTGTCAAGTTCAGTCCCTGAGCTAACTGGCCATGGGTTTGGAAAGGGGCCTCCACGTCAATCCCTAGGGGGGGAGGCTGCTGCAAAAGCGTTGTACCTTCCGTTAGTCCTGGTCTGGGAGAGTCAGTGCACTGGTCACGTCTGCCTTTAGTTTGTCATGTGAAATTCTTGTGACGTTTGAGGCCCATTGGCCAATGAAAGCATTCCCCTCAAGCACGTGCTAGGCTGGGGGGGTGGAGGAAGTCAGGGGGGGTGACTTAACCTTGAATTCTCTGCTTAGAACTTGCTGAAGGTTATGCTGTGTATAGGATGAGGGATAATCTGGGGGTTTTGAAATTAGCTTTTTGATTTTTATGATTTGTTGAATTTATTCCTCTTTTTGCAGATTTTGAAGATATGCGAAAGAAAGCACTATTGAAGAAATCATTTTTGGAGTGTTTTGATTTGGAACGGGATATAGGTTTTCCACTTGTATTATTTTTTTGTTAAGACTTTTAGCTTGTTTGCGACTATAGAAAGTGATCTAGGTAGCGTTTACTGAGCCGAAGTATTAGATAAGGAGCGAATGAGCGTAGCGATTGCGTGGATATAGTGTTAACACTTTCTTTTTGCTATTTTGTTTGTTTGATACAGACTAAAAAAATGTTTTCTTGATTTATATAGTTTTATTCTAAATCTTGTCAAATAATTGAAATAATTTGTCGCTAAATAGTCATCGCGACATGTAAACTGAATTGGCACCCAGCGTAACTTGTTTTGTGTCCTGGGTTTGGCGGCAAGTTCGAGGTCAGGAAGGAGGTATACTACCAAAAATAAAATTTAGGGTGTGATTTGTTTTTTGTAATTTAGGGAAATTTGAGGCTATACTAAACGTAGTATCTTCCTAATAAAATGTGAAAAGCGCAACGTTTTATGATCATTACTTAGTAGAAACACGCTGAATATCTTGGAGGAATGAACGGTGATATTGTGAGCTTTTTTCATCAGAAATTTGTAGCCAGTATTTATTTACTTGAAGAAAGGTTATTTTATAGAAGAAAAATAGTTGGTTGCCCTAATAAAACCGCCAAAAGTTTTGAAAACTATAAGACTAGTAAAACTCACAATTAGGGTATTACAGCATGTTTGCAAATACAGACATTAAAGTGATCTTAACTTTTTCCTCGTGTCTTTATTTAATAATGAATAAAGAAAACAAGTGTGGGTAGAAAAAAGAACAAGACGAAAGGGTTGCTTTTTTACAAGTACAACTTATGTCTTGTTGTATGTTTTCCTTTCTAAAGTAGGCCCCAGTTGCTCAAAAGTGGATAAAGGTATCCAGTAGATAGGGCGATTGGTTTCCCTAACCCATAATAGTGATTCATCCTGTGGAAAGCTCTACCCACGTTAAAACAAATGGGTTTTGTTGTTTCACGGAACATGCTCTGGATTTTTCATCTGTCACTACGGAATATACGAAGCTATTTCACTCCAAAATACGGATTGTTATTATTATTTTTTTTTATTCGAGGAAAACTTCCTTTGATCTAAACAATCTTCTCATCTACTGACCGTGAATCAATCCCCCGTAAGTGTTTCGGTGGTTACTGGCACCTATAAAAGGCGGGAAACTCGGTGCAAATCTCACTCAGCTCTTGCTTTGCTTGCTATCTGTCTGTTCTCCTAAAGATGAGCGTATATTATCCTACACTACAATTAATGAAGCTCTTTTAAACCATGAAAAGAAGGTCAAAATATATAATCCATACAATTATTTCAGTGCACAGATTTCAATTTCTACGAACTGTAAGAGTATAGACCATAGCAAATTACTTTCTGTTTCTTTTTTAACTCGAACGGTTATAATGTCCATTTCCGCCATTTTTTGTGAAAAATATCGGACAAGAGACAGAAAAATAAATATAGCAATTGCGTCAGTTTGTACGTTTAGACTACAGCTCATGTCCAATCAACGTGTGAGAGAAAACTCTCGGTACTAATCGCAGCCTGGTGATCGCAAATTCGAGATGGCCAAAATTCAGCTGTGCATTTTCTTAGCGTTTTTCCTAGGAGTTGCAGAGGAATAATGGAAGAGAAATAACATAGTATTGCTTGCCGAAA